ATCTGAGTCAGTGGAAAATGATTAGATTTTGCAAAGAATCTCTTTAGCAGTTGAGTGGATGATACGAAATTCTTTATTATTTATGTATATTCTAATGTTTTTACTTAAACACTCCAAAGTATTTTTATATTTACATTGATTTTATTTTGTATACATATAAAAAGACTATCTTGTTTTACTCTAAAATCATTTAAAATTCAAGATAACTTACACTGCAAAATGTAGCCATCGTTAAAGGGAACAGTTTACCGAAGTGGAGATGAAGAGGCTTATTGGTTCTTAACATTAGAAGAATTAAGTCTCGAGAATTTCTTGTATTCAAAGTATACCATTCATTGAAATATACAGCATAGTGGATTCTGTCGCACTTAAAATTTAATTAATTAAAATTTAATTAAAAATTATAAAAAATACATACATATATAAATTATTAAAATAGTGCTGTATAATAATATACCTATATGCAAATTTACATGCAATTTTTAAATGTAATTTTTTTTATTAACTAATTAAACTTTGGCTATTGAGAGTACAGTTGCAGCTTAAGAATTTTATATACATATTATTATCTCACATATACATAATATATATTTGTTAATATAAGTTTCATTTGATATACATTAAATACGTTTAAAAATATATTGTCTTAGATAGCCAAGCCTACGGATACATATTTTGAGTCTCAAAAACAAAATCCGCCATATGATTTTCAGAAAGGTAAATTTCAAGCAGAGATTGTAAACCTGTTCTTTTTGGCTGAACTTTTTCAATTCATCTTTCTTCTTCTTCTTTCCTCCTGGAGAAAAAAGAAAGAAAGATGAACTGATGCAAAAGTTCAATCAAAAAGAACAGGCCTTGTTTTGTAAATAAAATGTTAGTAAAATGTCGACAGACTGATAGCAGATTCGGAGAATGATAGAAGAATTACCTGAACTGATTTCGCTTTCTGCTTTTGTTTTAACATCACGTTAGTTGACATTCTTAATATCTTAATTAATTCGATGTCTTTGGATGTCCGAAATATGATTAGAAATATCTTGTTTTTATTGCTATATATTGGACGTCTAAAATATGTCCCAAGAATGTTACTTGAATGTCCTATTTACATAGACATTTTAGATATAATGTACATACTAGTATATAGTGTTAAATTGATAGGATATAGTGTCAAATTTAATTATTGTTTTAGTATAAAATAACGATATACTTAGTAGAAGCGATTTAAATTAAATCAAATTTGACATTAGACTTAACAGTGCATGTATTTATCTATATATTTAAGCTTTAAAATGTGAAATATATTTAATAAAATTATTTAAATAAAATTGAAATGTTTAAATAAAAATGAAATATATTTAATAAAATTGTTTAATAAAATTATTTCCTTAAAATAGAAGAAATAGATAATAGAAACGTTGTTTTGAGAAATTTTTCCGTAGTAATAATGTTACAATTTTAATACCTATAAAACAGAATCTGTTTCATATCTGCCATTAGTTTGCTAGATTGTGTTGCGCAAATACTGCTCGGTTTCTACTATCAATTTGCCGTAAAATTCTCTCAGTAAATCTTACTCGGTTTCTGTTATCAATCTGGCATAAAATGTTAACAACCGTTCTGTTTGATTTTTGCCATAGTCTGTTGATATAGAATGTTTAAAAAATGCTGTCAGCAAAACTGGAGTAGAATGTGAAATCAGTTGACGTCAATCTAATATTTTCTGATCAAATTTGCTATCAATTTGATATTCTATTAACATTTAGCTTTCTGAATATAATACTACTATTATTTCTGATTTTAGAGGTATATATTATAATCTGCAACTGTACATGCTAAACTATAATGATTAATAGGAAGTAAAGAATTTCAATTATACCTTAGCTGTTAATATTTCGCCAACAGCGCAGTACATGCACATGTGACCGAATATATTGGTAACAATGCTTATAAAATATGCCAAGTTTAAAAATGTTAAGTGATGTCTACTTTCAAGTATCTAGTCAATTAGTTAAAATATACGTTATAAAAGATGCAATATATTATTTTTCATATTATAGCTAATTGACGTTTGAATCATAAAAAGGTATAACGAGAAAAACGGTGAAGAAAGGTCTGTGTTAAAAAATTAATGAAAAACAATTTATTTCGCACGAAGCGTGATCGGTTTATTCAGAATACTTACGATTTATATCAAGAAAAGCGAGGAGAATGGTTCAAGTCGCATAAAATTAAAGAAGGATCTATATAGTGTAATATAATGTAATGTATTTTCTTTTCATAAATTTTATCATGATATGACTGAGAAATTTTATAATGTTATGACTGGGAATCGCCTTGATATTCAATCCTGTTTCTTGCACTCATTTATTCTATTATTTACACCTATTATTTAATTTTCCGTAACTAAATTTGTGTAATTTGTGAATAGTAAATATTGCTGTAAATCTTTCTTTAATTTCATACAACTTAAATCGTGCTTCAAACTTTTCTCGATATAAATCGAAGATCCCATAAATTCCGATATAGATCGGTCTTTACGTCTCGCGCGAAATAGATCACTTTTTATTATTTTTGTGACAAATCTTTCTTCATAATTTTCTCGATATAGCACCTTCTCACGGCTCAGGCGTCGATGTTATGCTATTATTAAAGATAAATTATATACATTAAGAAAAAAGTTTGTTCAACTAACTACACACACATAATTGTTTGCAAATTTGATTAATTCAACAAATTTTATTTAATTGAATTTAACCGTAGTCTGTTTAATACTGAACGGTTTGTTAAGCAGATTACGGTTAAATTCGATTAAATAAAATTTGCTAAAATAATTAAATCTGCAAACAATTAAACTTGTTTAGTTCGTAAATAAATTTTTTCTCAGTGTATATTATATTAATATATTGATATATATTACAATTACATTGTTATTATGTTTTAAAGATATACATATATAAAGCATAAGTATAGTCCAATTATCACTAGAAATATATAAATTTCAGAAGAATTTTATTAAGTGATCAATCAAAGGATGCTTCAAAATATTTATATCTCAAATGGGTTTTATTCATAGGTAATATGTTAATATTACTAATAATAAAATATCATTATGAAAAATGTCAAATTTTAATTTTAATAAAACATTACTTTATAGATTACGTAAATAAATTTTAAAAAAAACATGAACAATAATAAACGATTTAACTATTAAGATTGTATATGTTAATACTCAACAAGTAAGAGTTTAAACATATAGCATAAGTAGACTATGCCTCCACGTGATACGTCTTGGGTAATGCTAAAATAGTTCGAAATGTAATTGTTTACGTTAAAACATTATGAAATTATGATTGTGATTGTGAAAAATAAATTACAATTTTTCTAATATAAAAGTGATTATAACTCGGAAACGACTTATTTCCAGACTTATGTTCATATAGCTCTTTTTTCCTTTTTTTGGGGTCTCGAAATCATTTCTCGAAGTATTACGATAATTTTCCGGAACACCTCATTTTAAATGATGACATCACTAGAAAATATAACTCTTAAATAGCATTTTAGAGAAAAAGGTTTCAAAGAAAAGTTTAATGATTTCAAGGAGAACGTAAGGTGATATCATGGAACTTTGATAATATCAGTCATGAAACTTTTATTGGAAACATTTTTCTCTATATGTACTGTTCAGATTGAAATATTTGAGGTCGTCATTAAAAATGGGACATTCTATATATCAATATAGATATGATTGTATCTATATTATGTAAATATTAAATACGGAATTCTCTAGTGTGCATTATTATGATTATTTCAATTCTAAAGTTTTGTTAAATACATGAATAAGAAAATTTTAGAATTGACATTTTATCGTTCTTATTAACAAAAAACATATAAAAAAAATATAAATATAAAATAGTGATTACAATCCAATGGAACATAAATATGACATTATTTCTACGTATATGAAAACTATTTATAAAGCAATAAATTGTATATAACAAAAATTTTTGTAAAATTAATTACATTCATTATCCAAAATCCATAGAAAGCGAAGAGTGTACCAAAATATAGAAATAGTATCAGCAATATTAAACTGAATATATCTTCCACATGATTAATAGCTCTATAAAATGTCATTTTATATAACACTTTATACTAAAAAAGATATCTATCATGTTTACATACATCTATAAAAAAATATTTTATATTACTAGATAAGAATACTAATTTTGTTTAAATCTATAATATAATTTTAAAGTAACAATTTTTGTTTTGATAAGAAATATAATTTAATATTATAATTATTTATATATTTTTTATAAAATTCTATTTAATTAGATT